GCAAAAGTTGGGACAAATTAGGAAATTTTATATAATTTTAGATCTTCCTAACTTCCCATTAAAAAATTCTATAATCCTCTCTTCTTTTTAATTATTCACCTTCAAAAGTTACTGAAATTAGTTCCCATAGTTATATTTCATATGTATTATTGTGATCTAGAAATTACGCTAAAAACTAAAACTCTTTCTTATGTTACGATTCAACACTATATCATTCCATTTTTAGATTGGATTGTTCATTGTAATGCTAATAGTTTACAGTAGAAGGAGAATTTATGGCATGCTTTATAAATGCCTTAATATAATATGCATTTATATAATTGACGTCATTGACGATAAAAAGTGTAAAAAATGACTTTATATATATATATATATATATATATATATATATATATATATATATATATATATATATATATATACTAGAGAACCCGACAGACGTTGTCCTGTACACACATCTTAAATTCAACATAAAAGATTTTTGAATAGTCGATACTGCGATCGTAACGTAGTCTGCCGGATCCAATGTAAAACATTTCAAGATCAACAATTTATAAATAAAAAATTAGTTAAATAAACATTTCTAAACCGAATTATAAATCTAAACCATTCTCGAGTCCACTGGAAGAGGCAGACTTTCATCAAAATCGGTCCAGCCGTTTAGGAGGAGTTCAGTTTCATACACACGTTCAGAAAAATTACATATATAAAGATTATTTGAAAATATATTAATTAAAAACGCTAAAAAGCGTTAATCGCGCGTCTGCATTTTCGTAACAATAAAGACCGAGTTTGGCCAGTTTGGCTGAAAATCAATTTTCGACGCCAACTTACGTCTTTTTCAATTCCTACTATTAGCTCACGATCTCTATACATATTTTATTTGTTTATTTATTTATCTTGGTGGAATTTTCAATCGTTAATAAAATACATTTTTAAGCGCTCAATTGAGCTGAAATGTAATGTACATGATTATTTTGGATGACAATACAATAATTTTTAATTATAATTAATAAAAATTAATTGATTAAAACTAATTATTTTAAAAATTACAAATACAGCCACGTTGGGGACTTAGCGACCCTTTTGGCGATTTATGTCAAAATTTGAAAAGGTTTTTTTCTCACGTGTTAAAGCATTCAGTTGAAAGGAAATTTTATACACACGATTGTTTTGGATGATAATACGATACTTTAATGATAATTAATAAAAATTAACTACCACTTAACATTATGATTCGGTCATATATGTATATACATATTTATATTAACTGCAACTATTTGATAAAAAGTAGCTAAAATAAACTTTTTCTTGGTTGATCTAAGTAGGAATTGATTAAAAAGATTTTTTTATATTACACTTTTTTTTGTATATAACAATAGCGTTGTCACAACAATGCAGGTGAATGTTGAGTTGTATTTTTTGAATGTTTTTAATTAATATCTTTTTAACTAATTGCGATATCGGATCGAATTGTGAATCTAAACCATTCTCGAATTTACTTGAACTCACACAAAAAATTTCATCGAAATCGGTCCAGCCGTTTAGGAGGAGTTTAGTGACAAACACACGCACAGAAGATTTTTATATATAAAGATATATATATATAGTTACCAAACAGAGGCTAATATATTAAAATTTAGTAGATTCACACGTTAAATTAGTTCATATTAAATATCTTTAATATATGATCATACCTGATCGGGACATCTGCTCATGCACCTCAGCTCCCAAAGGTCACATATACTGGGATGGGCACAGTAGGCCCTTGCATTCATGGGCTGTTGCGACACTGAGTTTGAGTTTTATGTGGTCGTAAATTGTTATTAAAAATCCGAATTTAACATTTACTAAAAGAGATTTCTCTCTTTATCCAGAAAATTAATGATAATAAACTTAAACCTGTTCAGAAAAGAAGAAAAATATACTTCGAAAGAAAAAAATTTCTAATCAATGTTTGATCTATTCAATCTAATAGAGCTGTAAGATAAATGTCATTAACAGAGAAAGAAGACAGTATTTAAAAAACATTTCGAAGCGTAATCATATAATTCACTTGTGAAGGCATGTATCTCTGGATATTTTTTTAAAAATATATATGAATTTTTTTTTGTCGTCTATTCCTTCAATTTTCGATTCAAAATACAAGATGTAATTGGCTAGTTTAAAATCTTTTAACATTACATACAATTAAGTAAATAATTAATTTATTGCGGCATCTTTGAGCACTTGTTAAAATTTTTCAAAATTTGTTTCAGGGTCAAGTACAAATGTTATTCATTCCTTAAGAATTAAAATGTGATTTTCGTTTTTTATTTGTTTAGCTGAATTTATTACAAAGCAGTTTTAAATGCTTTTCGACTTTTTTTTTGCATTTTAGCTTACATCTAAGTGTACGTACTTTCCAAATGTACAATATTTATATAAAATACCACTGCAATTTATATGTATAGCAAACATTCTTCTATTTTTTAAAATATAAATTAGCGGTTGAAGTTTTTGAATGATCAGTCATTTAAGAATATTTCTACGAACACAAACATAAAACTTTAAAAGGGAAAGAAAAAAAATGGTATTCTACTGTAAATGAGTAAATAAAAAAGTATTAGCTATAAGTCATAGAAACTAATGTATAAAATTCCAAGATTAAGAAAATCTCTTTGATAAATAGATAATATCTCTTAAACTTTATTTTAGAAATTGAACTGAAATGGTTTTATTAAAAAACTTTCATTTCTTTTTGTTTCCATTTTTTTGCATTAAAAACTTCTAAAAACTATTGAATATGTCACGTAAAAGACTTCTGAAACCCTCAAATTAATATTCATGACATTCTATATATTTATAATAACTTTCAATTTCTTCGACTAAAAAAATATGAAAAATTTCACTCGTGCTTAATTGAACATTACTTAAATTATATTATTTTATTTTTTAAATTTAAATTGTTTCGTGTATGATCAACTATATATTAACATTGTGTAATATTTTATTGTTTGTGCAATGAAAAATCACAATATATAACCTTTCCACATAAAAACAAAGAAAATAATGCATTTTTTTATTCGTTTTGTTCTATTTTATAAGCAACAACTTTTTCAATCTTATGAAATATTTAAAATAATTAATTAAAATTTTTGTTAGAGCTATTTAAGGGAATTAAGGAATTTTCGGGGTATAAAACTTTAATATAATTTATTAAAAGAACTTAATAAGATTAATTAAAGATTTAGCTTTACACACATGCACTTTATATGTAGCACATTAAATTTTTTATCAGATAATTATTCTTTAAGAGCTATAAACTAATTTGTCGGGGATTATTTAAGTAAAAATTTCTCTTGGACTTTATTCAATTTTTATACAAAAAGAAAGAGATGACACTTTATACGTATCATTATGCTTAAAATTATTTATTACAATATGTAAGAACAATGAACAATCTCTATTTTTTTAATTAATTTTTCCCATTACGGATATTAAAATTTGATTTTTTCAGAAAATTCATTTCCCGTCCATTACAATATATTCTTTTAACCAGATTGCTGAAAGTTTTCTTTGTCATATATCATCACACGGAAGCGTAATCAAATACAATAGCTTTAAAAGTTTGCCTCTCGAAATATTATAAAAGTATTTATCTTTCCTCAAATTTACAGATTGCACTTTCAGTTGCATTGTGTTTGAAGGTTATAACAGATTACGTTATAGTGTAAAGCAGGAAGTAGTTGAGAGAAAAATCAACTTTTTTTTTGAATTTCGGAACGCAAAAGCTTTGAAAACAGTTAAAACGTGCTCCGGTAAAAAACAAACAGTCCTTCAGCCAATTGGAACGTTTTTACCTCTTCCGATTGTGTAATCATTACTTTTCTCGTAAATACCGCTGTATTCTGACGGTAAATAAATAAAAGATACTCTCAATTTCCGCCAACAAATCGGAACATAAGTACATTTTCAAATTCACCAGAAGAATTCCATTCTTACCTTGTGTGATAATCCACCACAAGAACTGTTCTTGAAACCTGCAATAGAGTTGAACGAACTCAACGAACGGAACACAAAAGGGTCTTAAATTTTCCGCGTGATTTCATTCAAAATACCCGAGATACATTTAATAGTCTCCAACAATATGTCCCGATTATCAAATTATACAGGGAGAGTGTTGTATGTTTTGTTCTTAAGGCTTAGATTGTGATTTTACCACGGAGATATCGAGAACAGTAATCTTTCTTCTGGCGGACGTCCCATTTGTCCGGGTAAAAAGATTGTTCTTTTTATTTTCTTTTTCTTTTCGGTTTCTTTCGCTCGTGCTTTAGAGTACGTCATTTGCTCTTTACAGTTATATTCTTAGCGAAGCAGGGAGTAGTATTACACAAGGACGCTTTGCTTCGAGATGTTACCGCGCTCATAATGCTATCTAGTTCTAATTAGAAATGATGTCACTGCAGTCGTTGTTGATATGATGATCCGTGTCAGAACATCACTTCAGCAGACTCCTACTCACTTCCTGACTTTGGTTCCCTTTCTGTTGCTCTCTACTTGAAGTCTTTACAAAGGATTAGCATATAGAGCGACAATTAGTGATTATTTCCCCTATGATATGATCTCAACAAATTTCTCCACAATGTGTTTATTTACAGCAAAATCTCTCTCTATATGTATTATTTGAACTGGATCATTTCCCATAGGATTCTTAAATTATTATCACAAATTTCTTTCTAACAAGTAATATAAAAAAAAAGTCAACAAAGAAAATTTTTATTTTAGTTACTTTTTATTAAATAGTTTCAATTAATATAAATATACATATACATATGACAGAATTACAATATTAAGTGATAAAATAGAAATCGATTTTCCTTGCAATTTTCCATTTTCCTTTCTATATAGGGTGTTGGATTATTTTTTTATTTGCTTGTTACAACTTATATATTAATTAAATTTAATTATTCTAATAAAATAGTATGGTAAAAAAGAAATCACATTCGCAGAAATTAGGCCCTTTCAGGTGGGATTCGAACCCAGGACCTTTGGATTAAAAGTCCAAAGAGCTACCCATTGCGCTACAGGGACACAACGAACGATTTTCCTTTCTATATATGTTGTTAGACTGTTATTTTTGTTTGTTCCTATTTATTCATTTTTTAATTTAATTAATGAATTTATAGTTGAAAAAACTGTATTAACATCAAGTGCCATCCACTACAAGTTAAAAAAAAGCATTTGAACTTGAATGGAGGAATAGAAAGTACTTTATTAACGATTGAAAAAAATTGAAAAAGATATATATAGGGTGAGATAAACTAATAGTAGGAATTGAATGAAAAATGGATTTATAATTTTTTTGTAATACTTGTAATACTTTTGTAATACTTTGTAATACATTATTTTGGTTTAAATAGCTCTAATAGGGTTTTAACGTTTATTTAAACTTTTAAAACGATATTATTAAAAGCTTCAAAATTATGCATAGCAAATAGTAATAATTATAATATTTTCATAAATTTTTGTTCTGTTGACATTTATATATTATACTTAAAAGAAAGAGGATAAAACTATAGTTATGATCAATCATTATAGAGCGAGAATATAAAAATACAAAATCAAGTGAATAAGTTATTAAGAGTGTTGTACATAAATTCTAGCTAAGTGAAAAAATAATTCTTAAATAAATTTTGGAATTATAGTTTAAGGACGTTTTTTCTCTTTTTTTTGTAACTATACTTACAAAATTATATATATATATATATATATATATATATATATATATATATGAAATAGTATTCCGAATGCATTATATAATCTCGCTTTGCCAAAATATTGCATTTAAAGCTTCATCTAAAATATTTAACAATTTTAAAGCATGTAAAATTAATTCTATAGTAAATAAAAGTGTTGCATGATTATTATTGCAAAGCAATTATTTGTTTAATTTTTACACATTTCCAAATTAGATTTAAAAGAAAAGTATATTACAGTTGTTTGAAATTCGTCTGCAAGAAAAAGGTATTACTGCAATTAAATTATACATCATGTCAGTCCGGTCAATTTTATGCAATTGGGCAGCAGAAAAAAAGTTTTATGATATTATTTGCATTAAGAAAACAAGAAATTCGGCAACTAAACAATTACTTAAAAACAGTGAAAAAATAATTAAAATGCTCTAAAATGAATGAAAGACCTGTCACAGCTTTCATAACTTACTTTTAAGAACAAATCGAAGTTTGTGAAGCAGTTGCTTCGAATTTAAATTGTTTTTTTTATCTTAAATGATTATCAATATACAGAAAATTATCTAAAATATTATTTGAAAGGATTTAAATATATTTATAATGTTCCTTCAGTTGAAAAACAAAATTTAAGAAAAGAGAATTCATTTAATTATTAAAGCGAGATTTTGTGTTGATCAGATAAAAGAATTTAGCAAAGTTAATTCGATAGTAAATTTTATTCCCTATTTAAATGGAAAAAAGCCTATGTATAGTAAACATGGAATTAATCATAAAATGAATAAAAAATGTCTGAATAAAAAATTTAAAAAACTGTATTGATCTTTTTTATATAGTTAAATAAAATGACAAAAGATTTCCTTATATTTAATTCATTTTTCTAATCATGATAATATAAAAACTATGTAATTCGACTTTTTTTGTTTTGTTCTTGTTTAAACATCAAAATAAACAGGCATCTAAGATAATGTATAGCATGGCAGAAAAAGAAATATATTTCACCCCTTTTGCTTTGAAAAAAATATCCTTATTGTAATTTTGTAGTCAAAAAATATTATTTGTTAAAAAAATTTCTGAGTCTTTAGATCTATCTTCATAGTTTACTTTGAATAAAGAGAACTATTTAATTAAACATTTAACAGAAAAATTCAAGACAGATATTTATTTTTAATATTTTATGCGGTTTTTTTATCCTATTTTTTATTAATTCACCGTAATGGTGAAGATGTAAAAAGTAAGGCTCTTCGGCGAAATTAATTTTTTGGCGACCGATCCCGGTCACTATATAAGCAACTTTTTCCAAATATTTAAGCAACTTTCTTTTATTAATATTTTTTTATTTCTCATTAATATTGATTTATTTTCACTGCAAAATTCCACTTTGTAAATTCTCAGAACACCTATCGCTAAATTGCTTGGTGACCGGAATCGGTCACCAAAAAATCGACTTCGCCAAGGGGCCCTCTATTTTACACTTTAACCCACAGTAACAACAAAGTTTAAAATTTGTTAAGCGTTCACCTTGTTTCTGAATACCAAATGTCTCCGCGAAAAAGTTTCATTGATACCTTATTACTAAAGTGTTCACATTAGTAATAAAGTATCAATCCTCACATTACATTATTTTTTTCTATTTTATTTTTGCTTGCGTAATATGTTATTTCTTTTTAAAAAATCTCTGCTTCTGTCTAAACAAAATAATAATAATAATAACATTGAAGTCAAATTAATCTTGCGGCAGTAGCTACACAACCACAGTAATATTAAAGGTAAATGAAAAACAAATATCCAGCAAATGTTTGTATAGATACAAATATTTTCAAGTACCTCATTATATTCAATGGAATCTAATAAATGAATATTTAACGAGAAGGTTTGTGGAAAGAAAGTGCGCGTGAAAGAACAGTCTTTAATCCGCTATATCTAAGGCTGTGAAGTCACCCCCTTCGGGTGCCCTTCTCTTTTATTATCAGCGTGAGCTAGAGGTGTAGGAATAAAGGAAGAACTAGGAGCCGTCATGATCTTAATATGACTTTATTAAGATCTTTAACTTAATCGTCTAACAAATTAGATTATAATAATATAAGTAAGAGAATCTACTGTGGCTAAACATACAATATATATATATAATACCGAAATTACTTAACCCGGACCACTATCAATAACTGACTCGTCTAAACTGAATTCCAATACTATCACAGATCCTAAAATTAAACAGTCAATCCTACCTTGATGTAGTCTGAAGTATCGATCACAATAATCCTAGACCAAGTTGCGTATTTACTCGAGTGAAATGGTATGCACCTTGACCTAAGGTCTCTCTACCACGTATAATTTCTGTTTGATACCATGTAGTATTTTGAAAACCTCTTCATTCTCGAACCACGGATTATCTTCACATTCCTGAAATTGCCACCCAGCTTACTCTAAGGTCTGATACTTAAAAGCTTCCTAATTTGCATCTTTCCTTCACGCTTGATTTCTTGGATTTGGTTGGAAAAGAGTTGCCATTAATTCTGGCCCCAAAGAACCCAAAGAATATGTTAAAGAAAATACGCGTGAGCCCTTCACAAGATATCCTCACATAGATAGATACATAGATACGTTTGTTACCGTACATAGATATCGTAGATTACGTTTGTTACATAGATACATAAATACCGTAGCCTGTCTATCAACATCGCATGTTTTTAAGGCTCATCCCCAAGTTTTCCTGTAGTAATATTTGCAAAGTAAGTGAGCCCAGCATAAATACAACAGGCAAGTCTTCGAAGACCTCACATTACACAGAAGTCGAATTAGAGAAATTGTTTAATTTACCTCAAGATTACGCTAAGAGTGATTCGTAGCTCGACATTAATTAACGATCTATCAATCTATCTAATGATCACGATTTATGTTTTTGAAATCACTCGTAAGTTCTAAGATACCGTGGATGAAAAAACATATATATCGGTTCTCTTCTTTTCTCAGATGTTAATGTTTTCGGTATTTTTTTAATATGTACACTCATGGACAAAAAAATTAGCGCACCAAGAAGGAGTTGTTAAAATGAAACGAAATTTTACATAGGTAGTAACTACTTTGTTATAAGTGAATGATTAGAAAATCAAAGAAAAAGGATAATTTATTTCAGAGAAAAAATAAAAAGAATGATGGATTTAATACCCTGTTGAACTCCCTCTAGCGAAAATGCACGATGCAATACGATCTGGCATTGAGGCATACAAGTTCTGTATGATGTCTTGATACATTCCATTCCATATTTGCTGTAACCTTGCCTCTAGTTCGTTCAAACTCGTGGGATACCCAACTTGCCGTCCCAAATATTCCCAGATATGCTCGATTCGAGACAAATCTGGGGATCAGGCAGGCCAAGAAAGGGTAGTAAAACCCTTTATGTATGGTAAAAAAGAAATCACATTCGCAGAAATTGGGCCCTTCCAGGTGGGATTCGAACCCAGGACCATTGGATTAAAAGTCCAACGAGCTATCCATTGCGCTATAGGGACACAGCAAACGATTTTCCTTTCTATATATGTTGTTAGACTGTTTGTGCGGAGATAGTCTAGTGATACCCTTGCAGTGTGAGGCCAAGCATTGTATTGTTGAAAAATGGCTCCTGGAAGCCGTTGCATGAGTAGCAACACATGTGGTTGCACGATATCATGGATTTACCGCTGGGCTGTCATGGTGCCACGGATCAATACAAGGGGTGACCGTGTGTTGTAGGCAATGCCCCCCCATACCATCACACAAGCTTTGGGAGCGGCGTGTCACTGTAAAGCAAAGCAGGATTGAGGCGTTCACCACGGGGTCTCCGTACACGAACACGATTGTCATCACTGCTGAGATTGAATCTAGATTCGTCTCTAAAGACGACCTGGTTCCATTCCTCTGCGGTCCAGTTTCCTCGTGCGAGGCACCACTAAAAACGGAGGCGTCGATGGATGGGTGTCAAGGGTAGAACAAGGAATGGGCACCACGATCCCAAATGTCCTTCAGCCAGGCGCCTTCGTATAGTTCGAGAAGACACAGGGTCTACTACTGTAAGTACTACCCGTGCCTAGATGGCGGTCGAAGAAGCAGTTGGTTGTACGCGTGAATTTTTTATGATGTGGCGGTCTTCTCGACGACTGGTCTGTCGAGGGCGTCCTGAGCCTGATCTTCATATAAATGACAGCTCTCGTATCCACTGGTCCCAACACCTCCTCACAACACAATTAGACTCAACACAATCAGCTGCTCGCCTAGCTGACCACCCAGCTTCCTTCATGCCGATGATTCTCTTCCTCTCAAACTGCGACAGCTGCTCATATTGTCTTCGAAAACGGCGCAATGGCATGTCTACCTCAGCTTTTGCTTTGTAAACACGATTCAGCACACTCAAACAAGCTTTGGTTTTACCTGTTTTATACTCCCCTAAAAATGACGTTAAAAGTCCTCTACCGGTTATACGTAATGCGCAATCCTGCTGCATTTCTAATCATTTGCATATCTCTCCGACATGTACCTTCATGCCAAGTTTCGTTACGATCCCGCAATTATTTCTTGATGCGTTAGTTTTTTTTTGTCCACGTGTGTGTATACCAGTACTTCTCATACTTTCAATATTGGCGACCCAATTTCTAATCACAATTTTCGTATCCCCCTTCCCCTCCTCCCATACAATGACAATGTATAATAATGTATTTTGACACTTAAGTTACAATATACATTATTACCATAATTATAAACCATACAAATTATCAATACAAGTATTAAATTTTTTCTGTTACTTCTTAGTCATGAATATTTTAAGTTACTTTTATGTAATGGGATAAATACTGTGTTACTTTTCACACTTTATTTTCTTCTTTTTAATATGCTCGAGCCCCCGACGTAGAATAATCATGCCCCCCTATGGGGACGTGCTTCACAGTTTGAGAAATGCTGACATATACATTTATTGCCATAAAAATTTGAACATCACAAAAAAGAGTTACCAGAATAAACCAATTTACATACTTAAGTACAACATTAATGTAAGTAAGTGCTTACAAAATCAAAGCAAAATGATCATTTATTGCAGAAAAATTACAAATGAATGGAGGCTTTAGTACCCTGTTGGACCGCCAGTGGAAAGAACGCATTATGTTATACTGTCGTGCATTGAGGCTTAGAACTCCCGTATAATTTCCTGCGAAATCTCGTTCTACAGTTGCTGTAAACGTGTCTCTAATTCGACCCAACTCGTAGGCTGTCCAGCTTGCCGTATTAAGAATCCCAGATATGTTCGATCCGTGACAGATCTGGAGATCGAGCAAGTCAGAGAAGGGTGGAATTGTAAAAGAAGTAGTCCTGTGAAACTTTTACTGCGTGTGGGCAAGCATTGCCCTGTGGAAAAATGGCTCCTCGGAGCCCTGCCATAAGGGAAAACGTATGCGGTTGAAGAATTTCACTAACGTACCTGTGGGATGCTATATTAGGAATGACTGTATTTCGTATGCGATATACTGCAAATGCAGTATTAACATGTTACCCGCGACACCCATACACACGTACACGATTGTCATCATTCCCAAATTGAATCAAGATTCATCGCTGAAGACGACCTGATTTCATTCGGTTGCAGTCCAATCAATCCCTTCGAGCCCGACACCAAGCGAGCTATTCGAAGAGCTAGCCATCCGGTTTCCAACATCCATATGATTCTTCTTCAACTCTGACAGCTGCTAATATTGTCACCGAAGGCAGTGTTACGGTATATTTAGTTAAAAGCGTCTCTGAAAAAGATTGAGTTCATGCAAACAAGTTCTGCTTACCAGTTTTACAGTCCGAGGAAAACGAACTTCAACGGTCTTTGGCAGCACTACACAATGAGCAATCACGCTGCATTTCTAATTATTTACATATCTGCCAGGCACATACCTTCATATCAAGTTTCGTAACAGTCTCACTCTTTCTTCTTGGTGCGCAAATTTTTATGGCAATGAGAGTGTTTATAAGCAAGGTGCATCAGTACAAAAATATTGTAAGTATTGTATACTTAACTTTCAGGACAGATAGAATACATCTAGAAGATGGCAAATCCTACAGCAATGTATGGTCGGAAGCGTTTTCCTAGCTCGGTACTGAATACACAAAACACAAAAAGACAAAACAAGAAGAAGTGGAGAAAATTTTTTTACTATTTGCTCATCAAATCTGCTAGGAAACCTTTGGTTGGTTTATGCGATAGATGGCACTACATAGATTGAAGCATAGGATGACGGTATTTTCTCACAAGCGGTTTTCGCTGCCATGATAGCAATGAACTTCATTTTGTCTGCAGACGAAGTGGTAGTAGGATAGAATGTTACACGAACGCGCTGAGCTTACTAATATGCATTTGTCATTCGATTTCTCTGATTGCAATGGACAAGCCGCACAACGGTTTTTCGTCTAACGTTATCCCCGGTGGCAAACTTCCAGCCCTGCCTTCTTTGCGCGCTTGCACCAGAGATTGTTCAACAGCGAAGAGTAAGAACACCAAACAACGACGAGAATGCTGGATTTGGTACAGAACAATCTAGGTACCAGCATCCGGGCTATCACCAGTCATGTTGAAATTTCCTATATGACCGTCTGGCGTATCCTGCATACTAACGATGTGCATCCCTATCACCCCAACTTACTCTTCTATTGTCTTTTTAATACTCCTCTTGCTTAGTTTCTTTTTCTGCTACTAAGTATAATAAGCATGTTTCCCCCTCTTATTCATGTCCTGTCTTTTTTGTGTTTTGTGTCGTTACTACCGATCCAGGAAATCGTTTCCGACCATACATTTCTATGTGATTTCCTATCCTCTTGGTTTACTTTATCAGTCCTGAAAATTGGTATCTGTCTTACTAATGTACCATGCAGGTAATAAAATCATACTATGTTTTTTTCTTCCTGAAAGTAAGCTAAAAATTGTGCGTCTGTAATACGTTTTTATATAAAATTATGAGACAAAAGATAAAAATTATTATTATTTTTTAAATTTTAGTAATTTTAAGGCAATTTACTGATTTAGTAATACAAACAAGTTATATAAAAACAATTTTTTAAGTCAATTCATACTTCGATCAACAAAGAAAATTTTTATTTTAGCTACTTTTTATTAAATAGTTACAATTAATATAATATGTATATACATATGACAGAATCGCAACATTAAGTGGTAATGAATTTTTATTAATTATCATTAAAGTATCGTATTGTCATTCAAAACAATCCTGTATATAAAATTTCAGTTCAACGGAATGCTTTAAAACGTGAGGAAAAAAACCTTTTCAAGTTTTGACACAAGTCGCCAAAAGGGTCGCTGTGTCGCCAAAAATGATGCCAACGTGGCTGTATTTGTAATTCTTTAAATAATTAGTTTTAATCAATTAATTTTTATTAATTATAATTATTGTATTGTCGTCCAAAATAGCAATGTATATAAAATTTCAGCTCAATTGAGCGCTTTAAAATGTAGTTTATTAACTATTGAAAATTCCACCAAGATAAATATATAAATAAAAGTACATAGAGTGTGACCTAATAGTGTAGGAATTAAAAATTAACAAATTAAATGGTAAAATCTATTTGATAACAAGGTTAAACATTTTTGAAGAACATTTTTTATTTTAGAAAATATATTTTTCTCTTTTTACTTTTGTTCGAAGGATACCGATTAAGATATCAAATCCCCTCAGGGGGCTCACCTTCTTTAGGTGAGTGCGGGTGTCACAATCGCGAGGTACCCTAGTGATCTTTTGGCGAGGGCTCACTCTCTTGTGAGTGCGGGTTTCGCGCACCTGCTTCTCCCGAGCCATCTTTACTTCCCCCATTTCCTTTTCCGCCATAGTAAAAAAAAACACTGGTTTTTATTTCCTAAGAATACCTATCTAGGAATTTCATTTTATGGTTTAACCCCTTAGTGGGTCTTGCTTTATTATTAATTTTTTCCTTACATATTATCTTTAATTTTACTTGCGACGAAGTCCTGTGGCAGACTAGGATTGAGTGGAATGAAGTTGAGTCTGATGGTTTTTCACAACTGGTATGACGACACAACAGACTGCTCCCTGGGAAAACTGGCACTTGGAGCGGGGTTTTAAACTTCTGAGGACCTTTGGACTGGTGAGTTGGGGTCTTGGAGGAAGCGGCCATGTAGAGGGTACCGGAGAAAAGCTGAGTTTTGCGTCTCAGGCCGCCAAATAGTACAGGAGCCCGGGGCAGCCTAACCAGTATGTCTGGTTGCTCTATCAGCTGGTGTATAATCTCGCCTGCCTTGTAGCTCCAGGTGGTGCCTGGATGGGGTCCTGCATTGCAGAGCGGGGGCTCTCCCAAGGCCACTTCTGGTTGCTGAATCTGGGGCTAGCTCCGCCAAACTGGTCCTCTGAAAATCAAAAGGGATTCTCCTCCTCCTTTCTCAAAAACCAAAATTTAAATGCACAAAAATAAGGAAAAAGATAAAAACGCATACTTTAAAATCCCCAACCCACCCTACCCAACACAT